TTGAATCTTTCTAAGATTATGCCTTCTTTTTTTGTCTTGCTTGAGTAACACCACACTGTTATCTGATCATCTTTTCTTTTTGCAAATACTATTCTTCTATTCTATTATTACTTCTCTTCAACTTTAAGCCTCATTCTACTCCACATTTTTCAGCATCTTGAGTAGTTGCTTATTAAACATTTTCATCTTTTTTACAAGAACATCTCTCTTAAGAACAAATGTCCTTTTATTATTGCAAAAAGCTAATGTAAAAAAGTCCTGTCTGATGTTAAGGTCTGTTATTCTCAGTTTAATAAATCTCTAGTTTATGTGTTTGATCTTTTTACTTCTCCTCAGAATAAAAGAATTTGCAGAGAAATCCCTTATTTGACTCTTGAATATAATATCCGTACTATTCCTGACAGTTGAACAGATTAACCCATTGTTATCCAAATCACTCTGGCTTCCAATGCTAAAGTTAATTCTTAATTAAACACTTCTACAGTTTGTACATCAAAATAGATTTCCATCATAGTACCAATAAATGTTTTCCAGATCTCTCTTCAGTTATTGCTAAATGTTTGTAAAGTGCTAAATAAGTGGTTCCAATTTTTTAAAACTCTAGAAAACACTTTGATCTTTCCAACTATCCTACAATTAGCTTTCAATATCTTATTAGTTTTTTCATATAAAGGTTTTGAGGTTATTTAATATTTTTTTTTCTAACTGCAGTAGTAAAGTTGTTATTTATTCTAAGTAACTTTAAGGGTACCACAAGGTTCTACCTTTGCTCCTGTATTGTTTCTTATCTACAATAACAATCTTCAAAAACCCTGTACTTTTGTCAAAGACCATCTATTGAAATTCAATAATTACACTTAAGATACATTAGTAATTACATTAGTACATTAGTAAAAAAAAAGATATAAATTGATACTTTAAATAAAATAAGTTGAATTAATGTTGTGAAACCTGTTTGGTATCAACTTGGTAACATCTATAATGCTCTGGTATAGATTAGGGACAACACAAATTTAACAGGAGCATACACTAGTCATGCACACACAGAGGTTATTGCAAAAGACATTTCTAGTTTTAAGTTTGTCATTTCTCTTGTTGTGTAGTTGTTGTTTGATGTGTTTTTGAATATCAACTTGACTAGTAGTAAAGTACTATTAGCAACTTTGGGCAAAACAAACAGGTACACATAGTGCCATAAAGTAGTGAGTAAAGCACAGTCCTATAAAGTGGTAAGCAAAGCATAGTGGCAAATAGGGTTGGGAATACCCGACTAAAAATCAAATACCGGTATTTCAGTATTGAAAATTTCTAATCCTGGGATTTTGGTATTAATACGGGTATTATTATTTTTCTATAATAATACAAATGAATAAATAATATAATTAAAAATGGTTTGGCAATTAAAAAAAACTATATTAACTTATTTAAAGAATAAAAAAGAGAAAAACAAAATTCAGTAAAATGTTAGTTATATATTAATCATAAGAAAAGAAAGAAAGCATAAATTTTTAAAGTTCTACTTTATCTGCAGTTGGTTGTTGATATAAGACCTCAGAAAACATAGATTGTTAAGCAAATTATCTCCCATTTTTGACTAAATTCTGGTGCAGATTAAGCCAGTTACTGAAAGAGCTCTCTCTGATTCTACACTGGTTGGTTGAATACTTAGCAAATAATTATATATTTAAGTTAAGTATTTGCCCCTTATGCCATTTGTCTCAAAAAATGACATTTCTTTTTTTATTGAGGTCTTTTTTTTTTTTGGTAGATTCCACTCTCAGGTAATCTGGTGCAAATTTTTTTTGACATTGCTATCTCCAACTTTTCTTTTAAAGTCAGAGAAATTTCATTTCTTTGATCAACTTCATCATCATTGACATCAAATATTATATTTGTGTCTGAATTTGAAATGTTGGCTGAAGTAGATGTTGTTGCTACAGGTGCAGCTTCATAATGCAAGTTGGCTACACCCAGACATTGTATCTGTAAACTGATAACTTTTGCAATTGCAGCTTTGGTAATGATTGGAAATAATTCATAATCTTTATCAGTTTCATCATCACTTGGATTTTCATTGGAGTCTGCATTGTGTAAATATTGCAAAACACTTGAAATTTCTGTTTGTCTTTCAAGAATACACACTTTTAAAGCTGCTTTCTATTCATAACTTAATGGCCAGTTATTGATTTCATCATAAATTGAATAGCAGCATCTGCAGATAATAAAGTTGCATCTTGTCGGCAGATTGCTTCAACTGTAAGCTTAATAGGAAGTAAAACTGAAAGGATATTTGACAACATTTCAAACTCTGCCTCTGAAAGCAAAATAGGTGATTTTAAATCTATTAGACTCTTTTTGATGCAATTTTTTAACTTGACGAAATGTTCTATCAAAGACAACAAACAAAGCGGTAGTGGTGTAGTGGTTGAGCGCTTGCTTCATAACTGAGTGGTTCCGAGTTCGATCCCCACCACGTCCCTGGTAGTACCGCGCTCAACTCGTTTCTCCGCGCAGCGGACTTGTTCATCAAGGTTCGTGTTTCGGAGTTATAGAGTTGAGAGAGAGTTATAACCACAAATAAGTAGCCTCTTCGTCTGTAGTGGCCTTCTCGGCCTTGAGGAGGTGAATTAAATTAAAAAAAACAAAAAAAAAAAACTATTCCATTGGGTTTTTGAGTCTAAAACCAGAGATAATTCTTTCTCGAACTCTTCTTTTACATATTTTTGTAGGATTTTGTCATTTTTTGTAGGCGAAGAACAGAATATTTTGACCACTTTTCGAACTTTTTAAATAAATGGTAACATCAAATTCTGAAGAACCTAAAACTCTTTTTAATAATTTGATTTTATGAATTATTTTTAAATGGGTATGAAGACTGCTTGTAGAACCTCCACACATTTTTATTATTCTCTTACACAATTTGCATTTAGCACAATGTCCTGCTTTTTCTCTTACAAAATGAAACCATAGTGAATTTTTTTATCAAAAATCTTGAATATCGGTGTAAAATACCAATTTTCTAAAAGTTTAAAATGTATAATTTATAATGTATAATTTAACTTACCGTTTGGAATTTTATATAATATTTTAATTTAATTAAAAATAACCAATATCATATACATTTAATTTTGTACGATGAATTTTGTTTCCATTTTTAAGATCAATTAAAATTATAAACTTTTTAAGATTTTGAATGGTGAAATTTTTTTGAATACTCAAATAACGGTATTCGACTTTTTTAATACCAGTATTTTGGCAACTATAAATTGTTCCAAATACCGGGATCCAGGTATTCCCAACCCAAGTGCTAAAATATGGTGAGCAAAGCATTGTGCCATAAGGTAGTGAATAAAGGTTTTCTAAAGTTGAACTATTAAAAACATATAAATGTGTATACTAGAAGAACTTTTTGGATTAGCTACTCTGTCAATTCAATATAATATTGATAGAAACATTAAACTGATGGAGCTTGTTTCTACTTTTGCTAAAACAAAAGTTTTAAAATTATAAAATCATACAATTATATGGCTATATATGTGTATATATTCTATTGTAAATGTGAATTGAAACAAATAACAGCTCAGCAAAACTTTTGATATGCTGTTTGTTTCAAAGTTTTCGACTTTAGTTTGTAAATGAGTGAAAGGGACACATATGAAGAAATTAAAAGTTTTAATAAAGTTATAAAAAGATAAAAAACTAACATTACATTCAACTAACTTTTTTTTTAAAAGTGTGTATAAAAATTCAAGTTTAGGTGGTATGCAAAATATAATAATATAAAAGGTGGAAGGTCTATAGCAACATAAGAAAACTTTATTGAAATAATTAGCAAGTTCAGCCAAAAAGTAGTTTTTCTAACATTTCTTCAAAAGTATTTCTTATTCATTTTTAATTTTATAACTAATCTTCAGCACTATTATTGTTTATGAGCTTAAGCCAACGCTTAGTCAAAAAGATTTTTATCAATATTTACCAGTAGACAATGTTTTTTTTTAACAATTTACCATTAAATTTATAAGTTGAAAAAAAATCAATCCTAATTCTTACACAGCAAAGTTTCTATGAAATATAAAAATATATATTTCTTGTTTTAAGAAATGTTTCTACATAAAGCAAAAAATATGTATTATTTTTTCAACAAAATTAAATGATTCCCTTTTTTTTTTGTTTTTGAGTCAATGGTGAATATAATTTTCGAAAAAAGAAGTATTGTAGCCCTTTTAAGATATTTGGAGGCACCAGTGTGATCAAGCTAAGAAGGATTTAATTTTAGTCTATCCAAAGAAAAAATAACTTTCAATTATAGCAATTTTTATTTAGCAATTATTCAATTTTTTTTTCATGTTTATAAAGATCTTAAAGCATACAGTTGAATGTGAAGCCTCCAATGTTGAAATTCAAGAACCTTTGCAAAATAAGATTAGGACTGAAGAACTTCACCAACATCCCAAAACTCCAATTTAATAATTCTTACTTAAATGTTTTGGATTGCACCAAAAAAAGATATGGCTGTATTTGAAGGAACAAACAACTGCCCAAAAAGGGCCTAAAAAGTTGCACTATGCTTTAAATTCTTTACTACCATTATCAGTTGAAGCAAAAAGATGTTTTAGTGCTGCTAGATTTTTGTGTTTCTAAGTTGAGAACATCAATGAGTGAAAAAATATTATTTTCAGTTCATTAAATCATCTCAGAAGTTAGGCTCTAGAGACTTTCTTCAACAGAAAATTTCTAGAAAATCTTCAACAGCATCCTTAACAAGGATAGGATTTCGTCTCTCATTAATAGGACTGATCTTATTACCTCTCCCAAGTATAAGACAGGACTATTTGCAAATAACTTTTTTTCAAATTTGACTCTTGAATCTTATAGCTATTTCCTTCCTTCCATACCAATTAAACAGGTTAACCAATTGTTAGACATTCAAATCTCTCCAGCTTTTGTTGTCTGTTGCTAGTCATATCTCAATTAAACTCTTCTACGGCTTGTGGTCCAGACAACAATTTTGTCATAGTCTTACAAAAGTGTTTTCCAGAACTCTATTCAATTCTCTCTAAACTATTTAAAAAATATATGACTTAGTTTTGTTTTCGTGCCTGCTGGAAAATGGCATCTGTTGTTCCAGTTTTCAAAAACCTATGTGAATATTCTGACTCTCTAATTAAAGTTTTTAAGATAATCATATCGTTTCTTTCTAACCGCTTTATTAAAGTCATCCTCGAAGGCCAACACTCTTCTTCCTTTCAAATATCTTCTGGGGTACATCAAGGTTCTATCTTTGGTCTTGTTTTGTTTCTTATCTACATTAATGATCTTTCTCACAACCTTACATCTAAAGTAGCTCTTTTTACTGATGACTCAACTTTATACTCCTGCCTTGGCAAAATGTCTTCTCTTTGATTGCTTAGTACAGGCAACTGATCTTGAATCTAATCTCACTTCTGTAACAGATTGGGGCTCACAGTAGCTTGTAAATTTTAACTCCAACAAAACTCAGTTATTTAATGTAAACAACTATCACAATACTGTCAACATTCCTACATTTATGAAAGACAACCCTCTCACCAAGTCCTCTTTTTTATGTCTTCTTTGATTATCATTTAAAACTGACCTTTCATGGAAACCGTATATATAATTGATTGCTAAATTAGCATCTGCTAAGGCTGCTTCTCTTTATTTTGCTCACCATTTTTCTCTCTGCTGATTCCATTTTCTACTTCTATAAATCTCTTATTGTCCCTGTATAGAATAGTGTTCTCATATTTGGGTTGGTTCTTCTATTGATGCTTTTTCTCTTATTGACAAGGTCCAAAAACACATCGTAAATGTAGTTGGACCCGCTCTATCTGCTAAGCTTGAGCCTTTTTCCCATCATCATAAATTTGTATCTCTTTCTACAATTACTATCATGGTCGCTGCTCAAAGAAGCTATCATCTCTAATTTCATCAACTACAGCTCAGTCTTGCTTGACTTTGTCACTCAGCAAAGTCTCATTCTTTCACTGTATCTGTCTCTGCATGCTCTAAAAACTTTTATTTGACTAGTTTTTTTTCCTACATTTCAACCCTTCGGAACTCTCTCCCATCTTTATGTTTTCCTAACTTATACAACCTTCAACTTTTCAACTTTCAGTCTTTTGTCAACTGTTTCCTTGCTCTATAGCTTTTTTTTTTCTTTCTAGTAACTCCCAACTCATTAGTGGGTTCTTGCAGCCTTGTTGGGAGTGAATCAGAATTAAAAAAAAAAAAAAAAAAGATTGACATATGTTTTTTGCATTTGTGCTTAAAAGTTTAGTTATGTTATGTTATAATTATAACTAACACACAAAATATTTCATTTTTTGGAAAATAACTAAATTTACTTATAGTGCTTAAGTAATTTAAAAAAATTACTTAAACATAATTTTCCCATTAATCAATCATTCCACAGTTTGCTTGGTAGGTAATTTGTTTCTTAAAGCAAGAAATATATTTTTTATTTTAAGAAATAAACTTAACTACAAACAGTTGGTTTACAATTTTGCTTTGAATCTTAAAACAAGAAATATGTTTTTTTTTTAATGCAGTCATGGCGCAGTGGTTAGAGTTCTGGCTCAGAAACAAGAGGTGCGAGGTTTGACACTAGCTTTAGCCCAAAAGTGGTATTAATAAGGAAGGAGGTGTGAACTTCCTAGTTAAATGCTCTTATGCGTAGGGGTAGGGGGGAATTCGTTTTTTAAAACAAGAAATATATTTATTGTTTTAAGAAACAAGTTTTCTACCCCTACAAAACTAGTTTGAAAAGAAATTTTACGAAAAAGTATTGTCAATCCATTTGTTGTTTAAAAATGTACATCAAGGTTCAGTGTTAATATTGTTCAAAAACGTAAACACTTTAGAATGTAAACTTTTAGAATGTCATCAAGATTCAGCATTAGCAATGTTTTAAAAGGTCATCAAGGTTCAGCCATCATGGTTAATTCTAATAACAAATTTTAATTTATTTATAAAAAATAGGCAAACGAGGAAGAAATCAAAGCTGCATACCATAGAATGTGTGTTATATACCATCCTGATAAACATCAAGATCCAAAAAATCAACAGGTTTTATAAATAATAATTTAAATTAAGTTTAGTTCTTAAATCAAATCTTTAATAACTTTTATATGATTGTTTTTGTTTTCTTAAAGATTGCTGTTACTATATTCAATAAAATTCACAAAGCATATGAAGGTGAGTTTTTTTTTTTTACATATAAATAAGTTTAAAAAAAAAAAAGTAATATTTTTCTTCTTCTTATAATTAGATTCTTAGGAAAAATAACTTTTTGTTACACACTAAAAATTTTGATCCAAATCCTCTTTTTTTTTTTTAAAGTATAAATAAATCTAAATTTGCAACTTCCCCATGTGTACCGTTATATATTTTGATATAGTGGGTATTCAAGTACCCACTATATAAAAATATATAGTGTATATATTTTGATATGGAGATGTCTGATTTTATACTTCACATCAGATATCACCTACACAATGATCTGAAGTATGAAATACCTTTATACATAAAGTATTGAACATACACATATAAATTTATGTTGTGGAGTTTATAAAATCAGATAGATAAATTAAAATTAAAGTCTGTCTTCCTTTTCATTTTTACCTTATTAGCTGCTAAAACTCTTTACATATGCTTTATTTTACCATCTGATTTTACTTATAAATTTAATGTTTTTACTATCTGGTTTTACTTATAAATTTTAAAATTTGAAATGTATAGAAAATTTATTTTTTTGATATTTTGTCTACACCAATTATAAAATTCCTTGGTGATTGTAAACTTCCGTTTAAGTCACTTGACAGAGTCCCAAACAACATCACAAGCATTCTTTGTGTGATGTAGCAGAAATGTCTTTTGCAGATACCACTTGGTATGGTAACATATGTTAGATATATTTTTATAATTTTTGTAATGTGTATCTACAGCACCACTGATATAAATGCAATGGTTAAAGTAAGATATTAAACTTTTAAAAATGTTTTGATAATTCATGAATAGATTAAATAAAGTTTGTATCATGTTTCATATAATCTGAGATGACACTTTATCTCATTTTTTTTCCATTAAATACGTCACTTTAGTCTAAAAATCTAAAAAGTAAATAACAAAAGAATACAATGTTCCTTATTCCAAGTAAAACCTTGTACTGCAATTTAAGTTAAAAATCTGTTATTTTCAGTAAAGTAATATTAAAATACTAGCTGAGATCAGACTCGTAAAAATACAGGTCTTTGTAAGTCTATTTCAAACAAAACTTTTATATACTTTTTCCTTATATATCCTAGCTTTCCGGATCTGTAAAATACGGGTCTTTACCAAACCTACCATTTCTATACATATCTATTCCACAGCAATTATTTATATACATATTCCTAATTTTTTTCAACAATTTTTAGTAAAATAATTTATTTTGAAAAAAACATTCAAGAGCAAAAAACTTAACACAAAACTTAACCTTTCCCGCATATGTAGAGCTTATAAAAGACTTATAATTAGGTTTATTTTTCTGCTAAATGCATTTCATTGATAGCTCTGTGGTTAAATGCGCTGTCATCAGTTTTTTTTGGGGTGGGGGTGGGGGTTAGGCCCTCAGTGTAATAAATTTTGAAATTTTTTCTATCTTATATATTTATTGCAAAAAATAATATTATAGCAAAAAAGATTTCTAAAATTTAAAATAAAATTTTCTCATTTTATAGATATATTATTCGCGATCAGTCCATACTATTCCAAACTAAAGGCGTTTACACTTATAGACATTTGTACGTAACGCTATAAATATGGAACTAAAAAGATCTTAGACCATTAAAACATAATCATAAAAAAAAAGTTTATCCTTAATAAGGATTTTTAATTATAATCATAAGAATTTCTTATGATTATGATTAAAAACTAAAGAGTATTATTAAACGCAAACCTAAAAGTTAAGCCAAAAAACTTTTGCGCATTGACTTCAGTTTGGCAAAATAAACCTTTATGCGTCAAGACTCCTTTTGCATTTATCTTACATTTTTTGATTAATTTTAATTATGTTGCATACAATTGCATAAAAATGTACAAAGCTGGTACAGATATATCATTTCACGGATAAGAGATTGTATTTATTACAATAGTAATAAATAAAATAGTTTTTGTCTTTACTAAAATATATCCCATAAAAATATGTCCCATATAAAACTCCTTCTATTAATATATATATTAATAGAAGGAGTTTTTTTTTTAAATTTAAATAAAATCTTGTTTCTAGTTTGTTTTTCTAGTTTTTTGCCACAAAGTGACATCACACGCGCAAAAAAATTTTGGCTTCAACGATTTTCAAATAAAATTTTCGTCTAAGAAGCAGATAATGTAATTTTAGCAATCAGAAATTATCAAGAGAGGAGTAAATCTAAAATTCAAGCTTCAAATTTTCCACTTGGATGTCAATATGTTTTGTGTTTTTTCAATGTTGTCAATTTTATAATAACATACCTACAAAAAATCAAAACAAAACAGCTTGAGCAAAAAAGACTTATAATTAATAATAAAGTTTACTTATATTAAATATGATCCTGAATAAAATGTTACATAAGTGGATTTTTTACATTTTATAAACAATATACATAAACAAATAACATATTTGTTTATATGGATCGTTTATACAGAGATGGTTAAGCGCCAAACCTGTCTATAGAGCAAAGTTTAAAAAATAATTAGTTTTATTTTAAAAAACAATTTATATGTTTCTTTGCAAACACCAATATTCTATACTTAAAATTTTCATACTTAAAATATATTCATACTTAAAAATTTCAAGTCCACTGAACTGCAATTATTTTTAATTTTTTTGGTTTAGTTGCTTTTGTTAAGAGCTTTTAAATCTTATTCATTGCTTTTGTTAAGAGCTCTTAAACATATTCGTTGTATCATCCATACTGCAGCCGTTTTTCAAGAGGTAAAAAAAATCAATTTTGACTTTTTGTCAAAATAAGCTAGTTTAGATGTCTACAAACATTATTGAATACATATTTTCAAAGAGTTTTTAAAATATTTACATATTTTAAAAATTTATAAAAATTATTTGTTTTAAAAACGTTTTACAAAGAGTTTCTCCTAAAATATTTTTTTTAATTGCGCTTTTCTAGAAATATGTAAAAAGCATATTAAGGTGTTTTAAGCAAGCAATCACTATTTGGAAGTTGGAAGTTACTGGAAGAAAAAAGATGAAGTTAGAGAAAAAAGATCAAGTTAGAACAAGATAATGATTGACTTAAAATATTGCAAAATATATGAATTAGGAAAACAAGATGAAGGAAGCAAATTCCAAAGAACTGATGTTTGAGGAAAAAAACTAGACAAATAAGAATTTTTTGAGCACTTAAAAACAGTCACAGTAAAAGGATGAGACTGAATAGAATGATGAGTAACACAAGAATGAATTTTAGTAAATGGTACAAGAGATGCTAGCTCTTTAGAGCAGTACTCATTAAAGTATTTATAGAAAAAAGGAAAAGAAGCAACATTATGACAATGTGATAATGGTTGGAGGTTGGCTGCAAGAGCTTATCCAATTATGTTTACAAAGTGTTTTTGCACCTTGTCTAAGAGAGAAAGGGCATCATTGGAAGATCCGCCCCAGATAAAACATCAGTATTCCATACAAAGACAGATTTGAGATTTATAGAGATAAAGAATAGAATCCTGAGTAAGAAAGTAGTGAGCACAATAAAGAGATGCAAGCTTATCAGATGCTAATTTTGCAATGGATTTAATATATGGTTTCCAATAAAGATCGGAAGTAAGAGTTAATCCTAGAAGATGGTATATGAAGGGTATATGACTCATCGAGTACAATATCGGTTTTAAAAATAGGAAGAACTAGTTACAATAATGAAAAATTGAGTTTTATCAGAGTTAAAGTTTACCAGCCACTAAGAACCCTATGCTGTAGCAGAAGTGAGATCTTTTTTAAGCTCAAAGGCGCCCTCCAAGCAATCAGAGAGTGTTGGCTTCTTATCAAGACAAGAATAAATGGTAGTATTATCAGTGAACAATGCCACCTTAAATGTGAGAATATCTGGAAGATCATTAATGTAAATTAAAAAGAGTATAGGGCCAAGGATAGAACCTTGAGGAACCCCTGAAATGACCGGATATGAAGAAGAGTGCTGTTTATCAGAGACAACTTTATTATTACGATTGGTAAGGAATGATTGAATAATCTTTAAGATGTTACATGATGCACCGTAAGAAGAAAGCTTATGAAGAAGACCAGCATGCCAATCTTTATCAAAAGCTTTAGAAATGTCAATAGCCATAGCCTTAACCTCTCCACATCTATCTAATGCACGATAAAACCTATTGGTTATTACTATTAGAAAATCAGCTGTAGAACAAGAAGACCGAAATCTACATTGATGATTAGAAAGTAAGTTGTTATATTCAAGATGAGAGGTTAAGTATTTGTTAACTAAAGGCTCAAAAACCTTGCTTATGATAGGAAGAAGACTAATCGGACAGTAGTTGGATGAGTCAGGTCGCTCTCCAGAGTTTTTAAAAATAGGGATAACAGATGACACTTTCCAGCATGCTGGAAAACAAGACCTTGATAAGTATTTGGTAAATAGTTTTGAATATATAGACGACAGCTCTTAAGAACCCTTCTGCAACAGGTATGTTGTCCAGACCACAAGCTATAGAAGAGTCTAAGCAGGAAATCACTTTGGATCTGTATCCAAAGTGATTTCCTAGAAGAAGCTAGAGTGATACGAATGTCAAGCAATGGATATACCTGTTTGTCAGCTATAAAATTTTTTAGCAAATAATTCAGCTTTGTCTTTAGGTGAAATGACAAAATCTGAACCATACAAGAGAGGTGGAATTACAGATTTGTCCTTATTATTGATACTGTTAAAGATTCTCCAGAAGTCACAAAAGCCTAATTTTTGAGATAAAATACAAGATTTCATGACCTGAAAATAGCGGGCTTTGGCGTTAGGCAAAACCTTTTTTCAATGGTTTCTAGCAATAATAAACAGATGTCTGTTTTCTGGAGAATTGTTTTACTGATAGATATGAAAGTAATGGTTACGATTGGAAATTGCAGCAGCCCAATGCGAAGAAAACAATGTAGAAGACTGAGGCTAGACTTGGAATTATCGTACGGGAATAAAAGCTTCCATGCTAGCCTGAATCCAAAAAGTTACATAAGAAGCGCATTTGTCAGCAAGAAGACAAGAAAGATTTCTAAACAAGAGCCATCACAAAGAAAATCATGGAAAGAGTCCCAATCAATCCCAGGTAGTTTTAAGGGGTATAATGATAGGGGTATTCTGATGATGAAATAATAGTTTTAAAAAGATCAAACCGTGATCAGGAGCACCTAAGGGTAAGTGTGGAGAAACTGAGCACTGACTAGGATCAGAAACTAACCATAAGTTGAGTAGAGTAGGTAAATGATTTGGTTTGTCTGGAAAGCGAGTTGGAAAGTTAATCATTTGAGTTAAAGATTGAAAAAGGCAAAAGTTGTGAGCCTTAACGCCTGCAGAGTCACTGACACTAGAGCCAAGCCATTCAGTGTGATGAACAATTAAGTCACCAACAAAAATGATAATGGCTGAAGGACCTGGTCAATTTGATCAGAAAACCAAGAGACAGGGGGTGCTTTTATCTTGTTTACTTTAATAACACACTACTTTTGTTTGTGGTTCACCATTTATTGAATCTGGATAAACTTCTAAAACAAAAGTTTTTTTGTTGTAGTGTGGATGTTATACATTTTTTTTTGCTTACCCTGTCTTTATGAGTTTCTAGTTTTAGAGAAAACAACCAAAGCCATTGATACTTGAGTTAAATTTTTTTTTTTAATGTGAGTCTTTTTTTTTATGTTTACATAAATCACTTAATCTTTTTTGTCATTTTAAATTATTGTTGACATTTTGTACAAAGCTTATTACGTGATCAATCTCCTTTACAAGACATTCTGTACAAAGCTCATGACAAGATCAAACTCCTTCACAAGACATTCTGTACAAAGCTTATGACAAGATCAAACTCCTTCACAAGACATTCTGTACAAAGCTTATGATAAGATCAATCTCCTTCACAAGACATTCTGTACAAAGCTTATGACAAGATCAAACTCCTTCACAAGAGCAACACTGATAAAGTAATACAAAGATAAAAATTAAATAAGTGACATTTTATCTTATTATTAAATAAAAATTAAATAAGTGACATAGTATCTTATTAAAGTCAATTTATTTAAAATACTTTTTAATCGGATTTGTGTTAAAATTCGTTAGTTTCTTAAATTCGTTTCTTAAATAGATCGTAACAAAAACTTCCATTTATTAAAGTCTCAAATTTATTCATTTTTTTATTCTTTTCGTGACGATTACAAATAGTTTTAGATTTACTTCACATTTTATGCTCATTAGTTTTTAAGGCCTTTTAAATTTGAAATGCCAATGTTGTAGAAAAGTCTAAAATTGTATATTGAATAAAGTTGAAATTAAAAAAAAAAGCGTTTTCAAGTTTTGTTTTGAAAATTTTTTTAAAAATTTTTAAATTAAATTTTTTTAGATTATAAATGGACAACTATTTTGTCCATTTGGCTTAGAATGATTCATCAGTCTTTTTTTTTTATGGCTAGCATATACATTTGTATATACTGCCAATTCAAACTGAAACCTTATTTTATGTATTTACTGAACCCCCTATAAAACAGACAACAATTTGTTTAAGTTCCTCATAATTTGTTGCCAGTTTTTCCTGGTGTTACACAAATATTGCAAACAAAAACAATTTACTTCATGTATGTATATTTTGTATTTCTTTCAAAACAAAAAGTGCAAACTGTCATTCTGTATGTATACATATGTGTGTGTGCATGTGTGTGCATATGTGTGTGTGTGTGTGTGTGTGTATGTGTGTGTGTGTGTGTGTGTGTGTGTGTGTGTGTGTGTGTGTGTGTGTGTGTGTGTGTAAAGATATGTATATGTAGATACAATTATATAACTACCTTTATGCACCTTGTATGAAACATTTTTTACAGCATATTTTAAACAACATTTTTTCAAGTTGCATACAATTTATTTAAAGTTTCATATATTCATAATTAATTGTCACAATAATTTGTGTAACATAATTGTCATAAGATTATTTATTATTATTATAGTTTTTTTTATTTCTTAGTTCTTTCCAATCAACAAAAAAGACTCATTTATAATTTATATGGTCAAAAAGGATTAGATGCAGGATGGGAGGTAGTTTATTTATTAAAGATAATATCTTAAATATTATCAACATATTTAAAAAAAGTTTGCATATTGTTTTAGTTAAATGTAATAGTGTACATCAAGACATAGGATATGATACAAGTTTATAATATGTACACATGATAGTGTACATCAAGACATAACATACAGGCTTGGTCGGGAAGCGGGTGCGATCGCACTCGATAACTGACAACGGAAATAATATTTAGTTGCAAAAAACCGGCCAGTATTTTCAGTCGTTTTGAGAACATTTAAGTTTATGTATGTTTCCTTGTTTGTCCGCATAATAATAAGTTCATTTTATCGTAAATTTTAAAATATTTTGTTTTACGGACTTACATGGAAACATACAAAAATTTAGTGTTCTCAATGTTCTCAAACATCTTAGTGCGGAAAAATAAAAATATTTGCGAACACAAAAAACCCGCCAAATCTACGAACAACTAATTCTAATGGTTCCAAAGATACTAACCGAAATTTCTAGAGTATTCAAAAAATACTAACCGAATGTCCTGAGTATTCTGTTGAAATATTTTAAAAAATTGTGTTATTTGAATTTTGTTACGTTTTCGTGAGATTTCTAGCATAAGTTATTTTAAGAATATACTATCAAACGAACTATTATTTTAATTCTTAGAGCCACATCTACAAAGCTATAAATGTTTTAAACTAACATTTGTTTTCAATAATAAATGTTTAAAATTTATATTTTTTAACTTGTCATTGTTTTGTAAATATATTATAGATTTTATTTGTATATTCTTATTTTTTATATATAAGGGATGTATTTTTTATGTATGTAATGTATTTTTATGTATTTAATGTATTTTTATCTATGTAATTCTATGTATGTATATTTTATTCAAATGTAATCTTTTAAAGCAATTTGTGCGATTGATTTTGTAAACAAAAATACTTTCAATAATAACTGCGTTTTCAATGAAATTATTAATATTCGTCAAAGTTAATAGAAATAATTTTAACCACTAATCCATTTTCCTCAGTGTACCCGATAACTGATTCTTTCCCTCAAGAAAGAAAAGTTTTTAAGTTCTTAGAAATTGGTTTACTAACTTCAATTATTTTTGCTTCAGCCATTCTTACAAACTCGTTATACTTAAAGTTACTTTTTTCTGTTTTAAGTACTAATTAAAATTATAAAGCCCACTCACTAAACATCATCAGCGTTATTGTGAAGCAATTCTGCTTCCTCTTCACATAGTAATTTAACCTTTTTAGTTAATTTCTATCTAGCTAATTGAATTTATAGAGTAACTCAATGATTTAATTATTTCATTTGTTCATCTTACTAAGAAGAGTTGTTTCAAATGTGTTAAACTTTTTAAACTACACGAAGCATAAAATCTAACTAACGCTAGATTATTTATAAATAAATCATCTAGCGTTAGTTTTATTGGTTGAATCTTGTTGGACTTTTCAGGGCCGGGGGCTGCATTATTTTGGCGGCCTTTTTTATGTGCCACAGCGTAAAAATGACTGAAAAAATACCAAATGGTCCTCTTGACTATTTCCCCTAACATTATGAGTCCCGGGGCTATAGCCCTACTACCCCTACCCCACCTCCTCAATCCGCAACTGGAAATAAGGCATAAGTATATAAATAAAAATTATATATACTCTGATAAATCGAAGAACATTTGTTTCTTTATAGTTGTTACTTTATATAAAAAATGTTGCTTAATTTTATAAAAAAAATTATAAAAGAGCGGCGTTTCAAAAAAAATTGCTCTAATAAATTTATTTTGCTTAAAGTTTTTTCGTATTAAAAGCTATTTTTCTTTTTTTAACTGTCTCTCATTGGTCTAGTTAATCTTATTGCGCTTTTTTGTTTGTTTTTGAAATGTTCTTAAAATGATTTTACAATCTGGTCGGTTTTTCGCAACTAAATATTATTTCCGTGGTCAATTATCGAGTGTGATTGCACCCGCTTCCCGACCAAGCCTTGTTATTAAGATGAAGATTTATACAGTTTGGTAAAAATAAAATATATTGAACTTATTTTTTTATATAAAGAATATATATATTATATATATATATATATATATATATATATATATATATATATATATATATATATATATATATATATATATATATATATATATATATATATATATATATATGCATTATATACATATATATATATATATATATATATATATATATATATATATATATATATATATATATATATATATATATATATATATATATATATATATATATATATATATATATATATATTCTTTTAAAAAATGTTCTTTGAAATAAGATAATTTTTTCTTTATACTCAATGATTCCTTTTAAAGCAGACAATTTTTCCAATAAAGATACAAGTGTAAGAAATACATTTAAATACCTTGGTATTGCTAAGGCAATACCAAGGTATTTAAATGTATTTCAAGGCAAAAACAATTTTAGACAATAGCCTTTATTGAAAATTGGTCATGATAAAATTAGCTGAATTTTGAACGCTTCTAATGCATCTGTTGTTTTATAAACACTAGCCAAAATCTATATATATTTTAGAATAAAATCATCAGTGATTTATATATATATATATATATATAATTATTATTATTAGGTTATTGAGCGTATTCGAACACCTCAAGAGGTATGTTAAAACTTTTATTTTGGCTTTTTTTATTATTTACTTCTAATGTCTTTAAAGTTTTTTTAAACAACTTCACTCCCAACAAACAAACAGCTGATTAAGTTGACAAACTTGCAAGCAGCCACTAATTAAGTTGAAAGTTGACAAAACAACCTGATCAAGATGACTATTTTTATTGAGACGTAATCTCTAGTTTTTACTCAGCCAAATGCCCCAAGGCAAGTAGTGTTTAAAATCAGAGTTAACTTTGCCTAGACTTTGAATAGAAAGTGAATCCAGCAAACTAGAAGGACATGAGTCCCAACATGGCTACAATCAGCAAGTTGAAAATTTAGTGAACAAAGAAGAGTTAAAGAGGTCCTAGCTTATTTAGATAAGAAAAGGGTCCTAGCTTATTTAGATAAGAATAAAATAGATTGAAAGTGGACAAAAATATCAAGTGACCTTACCAAACAACCAGATATAATTGACAATTACAAAACTGTAAGTTGTGTAAAGATAAAGACAGCAGAGAATTTTAAAGCACTTATGTTTATAAAAAAAAACTGTTTTTTGAGCACCAAGCAGCAGTTACAGTATAAGTATGTTAACAGAATGACAAGTCATGTTAGATTGAGTTTTGATTAATTAAACTAGTGATGATAGCTTGCTTAAGAGTAAATGATTAAGTTTTGTTTGGTTTAAAATTCAACAAAAATTTCAAGATCCAAACTGATCAAAAAGTTACTCTTTTTCAAGACTATTACACTAGTTGTAACCTGATCATGTTGATCTTAAACTTGATCTGACTTTGTTTGGGGAATGGAGTTGGTTGTTGATATACTTATACTTTTAAAATTTTTATAATGCTTTTTTTTCAATATTGTATTAGATTTTGCAAGAATATGAACGGTTGCAAAATGAAGCAGAGAAACGTAGAATTGAACAACACACAAATCCTAATGTAAGTTTTGTTATTAATTAAATAGATTTTTTTAATATTTAATTAGAATATAAAAAAGACTTTTGATATGTCGAGGTAAAGAATTAAAGGGTGTTGTGAGAAATTTGTTTAAATTGCAAATAAATGTTGCAAATAAAGTAAGCAATAAGTTGCAAACAATTTAAACTTAATCTTGAAACTTAAAAAGTTATGGAAAAAGACAATGAAGTTAAAACAAAGTTAAGAATACAATTATTATTAATTTAAGAATACAATTATTATTAATTTAAGCAATTTTATTGCTACAAGCAATAAAATAATATTTAATTTGTGAAGAACAAGTCAATTTAGATAAGATTTAATTCACTTCTAATTTTGAAAATTTTTAAAAATGCATTTCTCTTTTTTATTTTTCAGGAAAATGTCTGAAAATGTTCACTTTTTATTTAAAATATTATTTTTGTGTTTATGTTTAAAAGGGTACTACAACGTTGATGATAGATGCAACAGACTTATTTAAAAATAATGAAATTTCAGATGATCCTTTTTATACAGACGAATCAAGGCAAGTATGAGGTATCATTAAAAGATGTATTTTTGGAACAATTTGTTATAATTATAATGTTTTTTATAATTATAACTAAATTTAAGGGATTCTAAAAGACATTGACAGCACATTTTTATATTTACTATATTAAATCGACATTTCATATCTATGATCTTTATTATATATAATTTTATAGGGATCATTTATCACCAAAAATTTTATTATTTACCCAATCATTGACATTTGAAATCATCAACTATATTGATATTTTTTTTAATTCACCTCCCCAAGGCCAAGAAGGCCACTTCAGTCAAGGAGCCTACTATAATTGTAGTTACAACCTTCTCTGGATTCTATAACTCTCAAACACCAACCTTGATGAACAAGGCCGCTGCTCAGAAAAACAAGAGAGCCTGGCACTACCAGGGACTATGGTTGGATTGAATTCAGAATTTCTTGCTTATGAGGCAAGCGCTCTATCACTACACCACTACTGCATTCAACATTTTCAAAGATCTTTATACCCTGTTATTGATATTTGACATCATTAAAGAACATTATCATTTATTTTATTATATTGGTATTTGACATTATCAATAATCATTATATCTTTTTTTAGGATATATATTTGTTTAGGTCACCAATTATCTCCATTATCACTAAAGATTATGATCATATGTCACTTTATTGAAATTTTTCATTTATCATTTTATTTCAGTTCAGATTTTTAAGGTTGTCGTGGAAACTGAAGTGTCAGGAAAAAATTGCTCTAAAGTCTTGATGTAGGCTCACATTTTTCTTCTTTTTATAAAAAATCAGCTAAATCATTACCACATCATTACCAAAGATACAGGTTATCTCAGATTACCACCTCATTACCTAAGAGACAGATTATATCAGATAACCATCAATCATTACCAAAGATACAGTAACAAAAAGAAATTTCTTTTGTATTAGATGTAAGTATTTAACACGGCAATAGTATGGTAGTAAGTAGTAATAGTGTTTATTGGTGTTTCTTACAATTAGTGGAACTAATTCTAAGAAATGTATCCAGATTCTTCACATAAGCAAAAAATGTTTAAGTATATTTTTGTAAGCATCTATATATTTTTGAGCAAAAAAGTTGGTTTGAACAACCAAATTATGTAATATATTATTAATAAATAAGTTATATAAGTTATATTAATAAATAAGTTATATAATATATTATTAATAAATAATTGACAAAAGATTATTGTTCTAGAGCCAAATTTATTAATTAAATCCAGATTGAATTAGAAATCCTTTAACATGAATGATTTAGAAAAGGATTTACTTTTAGTAACTTGCTATTTGCAGGTTTCCATATACAGTTTCTAAAGTTGAGAAAAGTCCATTAATTATTCACTTATTTTTTATTTAATTTATGATAGTAAATAAAGTTTTTCATATTCTCTTGTGTTACTTCAACATTCTTGTTCTCCTCATTGCATCCTCATCGAAATAGTCACTATTGTGTGATTTATATCTATGTACTCAATGTACCATCCTCATTAAAATTGTTGATATTCATTTCAATCTCTTTGTGAGAATCATCAATCATATCAACTATCCACTGTCATCATCATCATCATCATCATCATCATAATCTAAATTACTAAAGTAATTTAAAACTGCTCTAATCAATCTTAGCGTTTAAAAGACTGGAAAAAGTTAAAATACTTTAAAAAGTTTTTTTTTATTATTTGATGGACTGCCTGTTCAAACCAAACACCTAGTTGATGTAGCAGTACTCCTCGTGTGTTCACCTATTTGTCAGTCGATGTAGCAGCACTCCTTGCGTGTTCATCTATTTGTCAGTCAATGTAGCGACACTCATGTTCTACCTATTTGTCATTTGGCGTATGTAAACAAAAAAAAATAAAAATAAAAACATTCAGAAACTTTTATTTTTCATTTAAAAAAATGAAAACATTCAGAATGTTTTTAAAAACATCCTAGTGTTTTATTTGTGCTTTTGGGGTTTTTTAAAAAACAATCAAATTCAATTAGTTTCCTCAATTAAATTTAATGACATAAACTGTACTTAATTTTGTCTTGAATTTTTGTTAATGGCCTAATAATGTTTTTTCTGAAGAGGATAATCTTTTTCACCTACAAAAACAAAATTATTAAACCATTAACAAAAATTTATTATGGGGGTAAATGCAGTTTTTTTTAGTTTTCCAAAAGTTTACACTGTTGGACTTCTGCCCTTTTTAACATTCACAGATTCATATATCTGTCAACAATGCTTGTTAAGAAGCATTACAATGTTCGCATTTTGCGTACAATGTGAATATTTTAAAGTCTTTTGAAATAGTTTATGCAGAGAACATTAAGCAGTAAATAATAGTTGTAAAAAATATTTTTGTAATTGTGAAATAATTTTTATTTATATTTTTATTTATAAAAAAACAGATAGTTAAATAAATTTTTTCTACTTTTTGTTTTTAAAATATTTTTTATTAAAAAATTTATTTTAATATATCCGTTTCATGTACAATTTTTACATTAACTTGAAATTTTTTTTTGTATGTGTGTTAATAATTAGCATTACACTTAAAATAAAATAAGTTTTGTTCAAAAATAGGCCCTTGTGACATCATAAAAAATTGTTGTTGCATAACAACAATGCCCATTAAGGGAAGGGGTAAAAAAAAAAAACAAAAATTACAAAGTTTTAATAAAATTTGATGAAATATCAAGTATATAAATTATTAAATCATAAAAAAAAGTTACATTAAGTTCAAAAATCACATTTCTCATTTAATGCCATGATAATTGAGGTAAACTTTACACTTTGTATAGAGAATTCTTGTATAACCAGTCTTACAACATCTGCAACGAATATGCTTTTTTGTGAAAACTGAGAAATGGCTCATTTTGTCTAATATCATTTTATGGATCAGTTATACTTGGTGGCCATTGCTTAGCTTTTTTGTTTGTTATGGTATTTCTCTTGAGAGACGTCCTCGACCTTGAGATAATGGGTTTATGAATCAGCTATCTCTGTATGGAATGCAATTAATGTCAACTGGTTCTTTTTTGAAATATTTAGTTGATGCATGTGAAAATGGTATAACAACCAACTGTTTGTAATTGATATGCTGATACAGTAAAAAAAGATATACATGTAGTACTTAATAGTGTGTTGTTTTACACGATACGCTGCTAACAACATGTCACAAAGATCAACATATAATTTTTGTTGTACTCTTCAATTTTTTGGGCAATTAATATATATAAAACTCTTGCTTCAATTTTTTGGGCAATTAATATATATAAATTTGCTTCAATTATATATAAGTATAAATTTGATTATAAATTCAATTATATATAAATATAAATTATATATACATATAAATTTATATATATATAAATTTGCTTCAATTTTTTGGGCAATTAATATATATAAAACTCTTACTTTTTTACACCATCTTTTTCAAGTTTTCCATAATCTTGTGTCTTGTAATTTGATATAGGTTATATAATGTTATTTTAGGTGGATTATAGTAATTCCAGAATTTGGACATAAACGTGTTGTTGCTATAGCTACAGAAACATTCTTCTTTGAGTTTCAACATCAGCTTTAATGTATAAAAATTTTTTTTTTTGTCTTTTTCTAATGTCCTTGTGAGTCTATATACAACTTTGCTATCCATCAATAACCTGTCATTATCAACCACAACCTTATTTGATTTTCCTGTATAAACCATTCAAAATCATTTATCTATTTCACTATCAGCTGAATCAGTTTCAGATGATTCATAAACACTATAATCACAATCAGTGTCAATAACAGCTTCTGGTATAAAGTTTCATCATCTCTCAAATCAGAAATTCTAGCAATGTATTGGAAACAAAACTCTAATAGAACTTTTTAATAGGAATCTTTATATTTAGCCTAAAAAGAATTTTAATATCATATATTGGATTATAACTTTATAATAATATGTTTTCACAATGTGAAAATGCATGTGAAATTCACATGCTGTCTGAATATTCATGTGAAAACATATTGTTATAAAGTTATATTATAAAGTAAAGAACTACTGGTATTTGATTTTATTGTTGTTTTTACTGTTATATATAATCCTTAATTTAATATCTATTTTATAAATACACTTAGATACAAATTCAAATTTATATATAAGTAAATACAATAGTATAATAGTATTTATAAAATAGAAATTGAAATTAGTATTATTAATGTTGTTCATGATATAGTATAAAGTGTTAAAAAGTTGTAAAGTGAAGTTTTTCCCATTATTAAGCTATTGCATCTCGGAATTGTTTGAAACGGTAATGGTAACAAGAAATCAGTTGAAATAAAACAGGAAAAATTTTATTGTTGAAAAATCAAGACGAGACTCATTAAATGGCAAGAAATTACAAAAAAATTCGAGCAGAAATGAAATAGATTTATTTTCTAAATTTCTATGAATTTTTCAAAGTTTTTATCCAAGTTTATTGTCATTCGATTTTTGTCATTCGATATTGTCATTCGACATTATTTTATGAAAAAATCAACAATTTGTTATGCTTTTATTCTCTTATACTAACATTACAAGAAATTAGGAATTATGAAGTTTCATATTTACTTTATAACAGTAAATTGGACCCGATCAGCATCAGTACCCATTGCACCTTCTACTGGATGATCAATAAATAAACATTTATATGTCTATAATTTATATTATATGTTTATATGTTATTTTATATGTCTATGTATGCATTATGATTTACATATATATATATATATATATATATATATATATATATATATATATATGCATTATATACATACATATATATATATATATATAATATATATATATATATATATGCATTATATACATACATACATATATATATATATATATATATATATATATATATATATATATATATATATATATATATATATATATGCATTATATACATACATATATATATATATAATATATATATATATATATATATGTATATGTATA